TATTAGATTGTGTTAAGTTTTATTTGATTGTATTGCCACTGCACCGAGACTCAGGCAGGGTGTCTGCACACAGCGAGTGGTCTGGGGGGAATAGCGTGAACCTCCAACGTGTTTCGACCCTCCAGGGAAGCTCCTCTGTGCAGAGAATTAATAGGATGTCCACAGCATATCAAGAGGGTTCACATGTCTGTCGACGCCCACCCTTAGTCCGACAAGAGTCCTCAGTGACAAGGAGAGGAGGAGAGAGTGTTAAGTTTTATTAGATTGCGTTAAGTTGTATTAGATTGTGTTTTGTGTTAATTTGTATTAGATTGTGTTAAGTTGTATTTGATTGTGTTTTATTAGATTGTGTTAAGTTGTATTTGATTGTGTTGTATTAGATTGTGTTAAGTTGTATTAGATTGTGTTAGATTGTGTTAAGTTGTATTAGATTGTATTAGATTGTGTTAAATTGTATTAGATTGTATTAGATTGTGTTAAGTTGTATTAGATTGTGTTGTATTAGATTGTGTTAAGTTGTATTAGATTGTGTTAAGTTGTATTAGATTGTGTTGTATTAGATTGTGTTAAGTTGTATTAGATTGTATTAGATTGTGTTAAGTTGTATTAGATTGTGTTTTATTAGATTGTGTTAAGTTGTATTTGATTGCGTTAAGTTGTATTTGATTGTGTTGTATTAGATTGTGTTAAGTTGTATTAGATTGTGTTTTATTAGATTGTGTTAAGTGGTATTTGATTGCGTTAAGTTGTATTTGATTGTGTTTTTTATTAGATTGTTTTCCAAAGCTCCTCTAATCAACCTCAGGGACCAGGTGAGCCTTTGACGGTAAGTCCAGGTAAGCGTCGGCTAGTATGTGACCACCTTGAGTCGGAAGAGGTGAGGAACAGAAGGCTTAATCCTGCGTGTAGGAACCAGTTTAACAGCTGATGGTGCCACACTGGACCTCCAGGTCATGTTGAGCACCAGGGACAAGGTGGGTCTATCAAGGTATGTCCCCCTAAACCGACTCAGGGACCCGGTGAGGCTTTAAAGGTAAGTCCCCCTAAACCGACTCAGGGACCCGGTGAGGCTTTAAAGGTAAGTGCCGGTGAGTTTCGGCCGTTAGAGGACCACCCTGAGCCGGAGTGGGCGAGAAACATGAGGCTCCGACAAGAGTCCTCAGTGACCAGGAGAGGATGACAGGTGGAGGGTTAGTGTGAACCCTCCCATATAACAGGTAACTATTGACTTTCATAATTTCATTGTTACTGATGGATAATTTATATGATCACCTTTATTCTGTGAAGATTTTAACTCCACTTCCTCTTGTCTGTATTTGTTTTTATAGAGAGGAGGAGAGGTGGAGGGCGAGTGTGAATCCTCTCATAAAACAGGTAAATGTTAATTTTCATATTTTTTTTCTGATACTGATGGATAATTTATATGTTCACCTTTATTCTTTAAAGATGTTAGGTCTACTTCCTGTTGTCTATTTGTTTTCATGAAGAGAGGGGTGTGAACCTTTTTATGCAAAAGGATCACACAAGTATCATTTCTTATTTTCAGATAAGCTAACTTGTGTTCCATTTGTCTTTTAGGGAGAGGAGGTTTTCAAATGCCCTTTATTGATCCAGGAGACACCAGATCACCGTCACATCATCAATTCGAAAAAATAAAAATAAAACTCATCCGAGCTCTGACTTTTTCATGCTGTTTTACTTCACATTTAAAAGGGCTTTATTTTGAAAAGAAATTTACCCGGAAGTCGCTGTATTCTGACATCGGCTTGACGTTGGTAAATCCTCTGTCCTGTGGAATAATTAGACTGGCATTCAAGCTGATGTGATTAATCCTGGCGACTACTGGGAAGCCCGTCGACCCTAACGGGTACCATGCTGATAATAGTAGGAATAGAGTGTGCATGCCCGGCATCGTAATTCAATGTGTAACGTTCACCATGCAGGCTGCGTTAACAGGGACTGACTGATCTCACTGGGAGTCTTTGTTAACGTGACAGACATATTGCTGTAGATTTTTTTGAATTATTAGAAACAAATTGAGCATGTCTATATTCCTGCACCATTAATGGCATGTCTCTTTATATAGCTTCACTTACAAACTTGATTTTTAAAACATTTTTTTGTTTGCGTAATAAAGACACAAATATACCTTCATACATTTCGAGCTGCATAAGCCTCAAATCAACCTCAGATAAACTTTGGAATATATTTGTGTACAGACCTTCGGGAGCTTACAGTATGAACAAGAGGAATGATAAAAGCAAGCGATCATTTTAACACCAATACTTTGCATGCTGGGAAGTATTTCCCAATAAGAAAGCAATGCTCCTGAGGAATTTAATTTGATGAGGTAAGTGAACGAATTTTAGTTTCAGAAATGATAACACAATGAGGGCTGATTTGAAACTTACAAACCTATCTAATTACACTGATTTAATGATAAAAGATTGAAGAGAAAAGATAAAAGAAAAGATAAAAAACAAGTAAACATCTGAACATTTTGACTTTATAATGAATCCCTGATAAAGACTGTAAGTTATGTTATATTTGTACGTCTCAACAATAAAAAAATCGTAGAGATTTTACAGTGCAGCACACATGCAGCAATAGCAACATCAAGGGATGCTGTTTGCTCCTAAAGGTCACTTCTCCTGCAATTGTTTTTTTTGTTTCAAAACCAAATTTTCCTCATCTAACATTCAACATATCTGATCAGGCCCTACAGTGTCCATTCACGAGCAGTCTCCCTCCTGTTAAATGTATTATAATACATATTTCTCATGATCAAGGCTTATTTCCTCAACTCCTGAGCTCTAATCATAAACACTTTCCTCCACTCCACTTCACTCCCTTCAGGGCACCGCTCCACTTCATGGCTAGATGGAATATTCATAAAGACTCTTCAGACTCCAGCTGACACACATGCTCGACATATGCATACAATGTGCATTAGCATGGTTTTATTCCTGTCTCGCTGATGTGGGGAGTGGATGTTTACACGGCTTTTAATGGAATCCATCCTTTAGAGTGGCCATCACATTGCATGTAATCTCCCAAAGTCTCTTTGAAGATCACAATTTACAACCCCCATGACTGACAGCTACCCAAATTTATCTGATGCACAGCAGCAGAACAGTTTTGGATCGTCTTTGCAGAGCTTTCCGTCCGGTCTGCAAGTATATAAATTGGCAAACACGGCGTGAAGCACGGCGTGAAGCATATGCCCCCCCCCCCCCCCCAACAAATGTGTTTCTTTTTTGTATGTGGTCTAGAAATTTCATAAACCATAAAGCCACAAAAATGTCCTCTGGGAGTGTGAGATACAAAGAAATTTGACAGTCCATGGAAGCACATAATCAGTCATCGCACATCATTCCAGTGTCTTGGCTCTCAATCGCAAAACATGACGACTCTCTAGCTCCATCTGTTGAGACGTTCTCATCACTATGGACAGGACGCCGGTGATTATGGATACAGAAGTTACAATCCAGCTAGAGGAGAGTGCTGAATTCTTGCAAGGCATTGAAGAACACAAATGTCAGCTGAGGTAATGATTCACTTGCAGCCACAGATTCTTACGTAAGAGCAGTAATTCTTCAAACACGCTCGACTGGATAAACTAATGAGGGCCGGGTCAACGTTCTCATTTGTCTCTCGTGAAACGAGATTTTAAAAAACATTTTTTTTTTTTACTATCTGTATAATTCATGGTCTGGACAGGGTGATGCGCATCCCAGAATGCAGTGGGCAGGACGCAGAGTTCACCCTGAACAGGTCACCAGTAGGTTACAGCGTTAACACACTAAACCACAGTCACACCTTGAGGCAGAGAGGACATGTCAGGTCCACTCAGGAGAAGCTCAGGTGGCTGTTTTGGGTTTAAATCAAGGCTGTACAGCGACAGAGCGAAGCTTAATTACTTATCTTAGGTTTGACAACTTGAATCTTTTTTTTTTTTTTTTTTTAAATCAAATGCCAGGTACAAATAATAGGCCTAATGTTTTTAAGAATGTTTAAGTCTGTTTGTCATTTTGCTTGTAGTCTCTCAAATGGGAGATTTTGATGCTTTTCCTTGTCACAAGTGATAGTTAACTGACTATAATTGGGCTTTTGAATATTTGAAGGGGTCCCCCTGAGCTGTGGAGAATTATAAAGGGCATCTTTCTCTCTATCCAGAAAATAATCCAATTAATTGCTAATGGAAAGAAGCATTAACTGCATCCCTGTTGTGAAAACACTTGAACGAGCACACCTTCCACACCGTGTCATTTTCTTCAGCAGATACACTGATATGCTTCATCATATAACTTTAATATATTCCCTTATTAAGTTTGTGTGTCAAACCTGTAAACAAACAACGGTCTTACGCATCCAGGAGATACAAAGCAACGTAAGCATGAAGCTAGTTGTGGATCTTTCCATGCGATGGATGAGAGTCCTGTTCTCTCTTCTTCTGAGTCTGTTGTGCCAAGTTGCACCATGGCTCTCTCGCAGACTTTTTGAGCCTGTTTTTCAGCAAGTCTGCATTTCTGCAGTCTGCGCCTGAGGGACTTACCCACAATTCAGTGTTGTGACGCTAAACACAAGGCTTAAAAAAACGAATAAGGTAAACAAAGAACTGGAACACGAGTGTTCAGCACATACATATATTGGGGTAAAGAGTACCACTTGACAATTACCATTTGGCTCTCTCTCATCCCAATCCCACAACTGTATATATTGTACGTTTTGGCGTAGTATCAGTAACGTGTCCCTTTCCTATTTTGTACAATTTGGAGCCCTTGCAGCCTCCTACACTCAAGCACATTCACCAGGTGATGTTGACGACGTCCCTGAAATTTCAGGGTTGAGGGCAGACATTGGGCCTCTCATTTTGTCCCCGTGATGTTTGATGCTGAGCTGGACGTGTAAAGTGTCTTATCAGCTGGAATAATTGAAAAAGACGCCTTTAACACATGAAATATGAGCTTTGTTGATAAGGATACAATCTACAAAATACATTGGTTTGAAATCACCGTTTTATTTCTCAAAGCATTGCAATGAAATACAACAAAAATATGTAAAAACCCTAAAACAAAAAGTAAAAATATACCAACAAATATTGTCATATCGAACACGCTCTTGTGTGCTGAACAGTTTTGTCAAAGTGAGACGAGATATTTCAAACTTGAAACAGGGATGTAAAATCAATTCTAATGGAAGGCGTTTAGTAATAAATACCAGCACAAGACAATGAAGTAATTATACAAAGTTGACATAATTACATCGGGGACTTCAGGTTTGAAGTTGAAGAAATTGGACGTTTGAAAATTTAAAAAAGGCGCAAGGAAGAATCCAAGTGTTGAGCCAAGTGTCCTCAGTCGACAGTGTCTGTTCGTGGCAACAAAGAGCGGAGAAAATGCAGCCGGTCTTATCTGTCCGGTCGCATCATGCCCGGCCTGACTGGCATCATCATCGGTCGAGGGTGACGCATCATGTGTGGCGGTCCGGGCATCATCTGCATGGGTCCTCCCATCGGCGGCCTCATGCCTCCTAAGAGTGACAGTGAAGAGATGCACAGCATCGGGTATTAATTCATAACAACGGCTTTACATAAAAGAGTCATGAAGACTTCACAAGTCATTTAGAACGACCTGGTTAAGAACAGTCTAGCAGAAATAGGCTCACGCCTGCAGTACATTAATGTTGAAAGTAAGTCTAACTTACATTATTGAATAATATGTTAATTATTATTAAGATATTTCATTTTGTTTCAGACCCACAGTACATTTAAAACAAAATACATGTAAAAAAATATGAATTAGGAAGGGGGCGTTTCCTTTCATTTTATTGTTTTAAAGACAGACTGTTCCCGTTATATCAGGCAAACAGGATTATTCATGCAACTTCTTTATTTGTGACTACATAAGAACAGATGAAACCCAGTTAACCCTTTAATGGCCGACTAAACTGCTGCGAGCATTGTAAATGCTACACAACGTTAGGAACGAGTGAAGCTTCGTCATAGAAACACGTGTCTTACCGGGTCCACCGGGCATCATCCCATGTGGGGGGGGCCCCATCATGGGCATCATAGGAGGACCTCCCATGGGGGGCGTTGGGAGCATGCCTGGCCGAGGAGGACCGCCTGTGTTACAAACAGCAAATGTTAGTGTTTGATCAGATTCACATGCATCACATTTTGTATTTTAGCTTTATTTGTATTGACTTCTGACTGAACTGAAAACATGCACCTGTGTTACTTACTACTAAATTATTACGCAATGTAACTGTATTTATCGTGTAAACACTATACGTGACAAAATGATACCACTTTAATGATTTTTGGACTTTTATCTAAGTTTGGCATAGTCATCATCATTTGAGACAACCCCACCTGACACTAAATAAACCAAGTTGCCAGTTTATTAGGCACACCTAGCTACAACTAAAGCCATGAAATAAATCCTCCCACCATGAAGGGTCAACTTTTTGTTCCCTTTGGAAGTCTGTGGAGCTGAACTGCGTTACACAGAGAGGTGTTTCCGTTATTTAGCTCACCCTCACTCATAAACGGGCTGGACAACATATTAGAAACAGTAGGATGCAACATCATTTAACAGCACCATCAACACCTCTCTCTCAGTTTCAACAAAACACATCATGAAGGAAGGATTTATTGCAGGACTGTTGAACATCTGCAAATGTGGCCACAAGCGATTTGGCCATCTGTTTCCTTTAGAAACACCACAGTGCTGAAGGCAAGACCTCTTTCATTACTTACAATTGCTGTTACCATGTAAAAAAAGTGGATAATTTGCTGGTCACATTTACAAATGTGCTACATGATCTCTCTTTCACTCACTCACTCACTCACTCACACACTCACACACTCACACACACACACACACACACACACACACACACACACACACAGGTGTGCTCATTTTATTAATTTGAATTAGCTGTAATCCCACAGGAACAGCAGTTTCACGGCCTCTGTTGATTGATAATTCTAATAAGATTTATCTCAATAATCGCTGATGAGAAGCGAAATGCTGACAGCCGTTCCCCATTGACTATGAATCTACCTACCAAGAGCCAGAGTCTCCAGTAAGGGTTAGTGACTCAAATTACTGCAGAGCTGAAACGGACTCACCTGGGGGGGGGCCACCAGGGAACGGCGTGGGAGGAATCTTTCCCTGCTGAAAGGCGGCCGCTGTCGGGAGAGAAGACAAAACATTAGGCACAAAGAAGAAGAAGAATGAATCACACACCTCCGCGTTCAGCACTCAAACTAGTCTTTGCTTTTCTCGTGTTCAGAAAGAATGAACTGAAGCCTGTTTCATACGCAACGCAAAGAACGACACAAAGTGCACATTTCTGCACAGCAGAATACACTACTCTGTTTAAAGTTCATGCTGCTGTCCACTGCAACAATGAGTGTTTGGGTTAGCATGCTAAATAATAAACAGAATAAAAACACTACTAATAAAGCAGTCTACTTTATTAAAATAAAAAACATGTATCATAGCCTCTTTTTGTGTTTCAAAGGATAATTTAGCCTCGAAAAACATGTTCCTCCACAGTGGACAATACTGCATCTCTCATGTGGATTAGCGGTTTGTAATCTCAGAGGGGGCCCAAATAAACTGGTGTACAGTGCACTATTTAAGCAACGAGCTTGGCGGTCCCACACGCATGCATAAGCATGTCTTGTGTGGGATACGAAGCAGGCTTTACTCCAACGCCTACTTTTATTTTCTAGACAAGGATATTAAATATGGAGATGAAAAATCATGCTGTGTCATCAGTGTGAAAGATCAAATAACTCATCAATAATGCGTTAGTAACCACTAGAGGTTCAGTTAAAGAGCAGACACTGTGTTTTACTCGATTAAAAAAAACATTGTCAGACATGCAGGTTAGAGGATATTTAGCACTCGAGCGGTTTAGGAAACGAGTTTTGTCCGAGTGGCAAAGTGTCTTAAACAGTTAACAGCGAGTGCAGTTGCTTGGTTCTTCTAGAGTCACTCAGCCGTGTTCTCGGGATAATAGAGCCAATGATCTGCTTACTTGTTTTATCGATGAGGCTCTGAGCCTGCTCCTCCATCCATTTCTGGTAGTAATCTTTCACATTTTCCTTGTGCTTTCGGCCGCTGCAGTGGGTCTTCCTCACTGATGGCTACAACAGATTTGTGGAAAAATATTTAACCGGCGTGAAATACAACAAAAAGAGATTACCTCATGCTTTTCAACAATTTGATTTGGTGCCGCACAAGCACAACTTACCGAATCATGAGTAAGGTAGGTATCACAGTAATCACAGTAAAACCTGTTGTGTGGGGGGGGGGGGGGGGGAATTTGAGGTAAACACGAAAAGTTCAGAGCTGTAGACATGACTTGTCCCAAAGCTGTATACTTTAAATTGGAGCTGAGAAATATTAAATCACTGTAGAACTAAAAAGGGCAAATTATAGTTCACGCTGACACATAACCAAAAAGATGGTCTTTGTCTGGTTTAACAAGCTGCAATATAGATATACAATTGTGTTAACTACGGTTTGGTCTGTAACGCTTTTATTTAGCCATAGTGCTAATATTGCCTTTAAAAATAAATCCCAACAAATATGTTTCAGTCGTGAGTTGGAGTCCTGCAGGAATTGTAGCATGCATATTGTACAGATGTTACTAAATGTGCTGCAGGAAACTGTGAGGTATCACACACTGTAGTTCACTGCTCAACAGGACTTCTGTGCCGTGTGCAGAACAGGTCAGCACACTGTCTTGTATACATTTTCACCCTGAACAAGGATAACCTCGGTTTAGATCACCGTCGTAATAAAATAACGAAGCAATACTTGGTTTTGTTAGCATCATACTCGTTATTAGTAGTGTGTAGCCACTTATTTGAGGACGAGTTGTTCTCTGCAGCTTCTCCACTTTACAGAGATGTGTTGACGTTCACCCCGGAGCTATCTGAACGTTACTGTGAGATAGATGACGTTTTAGAACTTGCTACACCATCAGTATAATCAGCTCCTATTTCTGAAAATTGAATTGATTTAACCTGGTAAAAAAACAAACAAACAAACAAACAAAAAACACATTACAGACTCATTCAGATCCGGCGTAAACGTCACCAACTCATATCTAACAACAAAAAGAAAAGGCTTCATGTTGAAATCGACGTGGGTGAGAAGTCCTAAAAATAGCCAGAATCGTGGATTTTATCAGATTAATTGATTGTATATCGCGGCGCTGCGATTGTCTTTTGCTGGTCTCTGTTAGCTCTGTTCACATCGAGGCCGAGTCCAGCAAATAGACACAGCCCACACAAAGCGTACCGCGTCCATCTGGAAACACACTGGTCCGTTTCACTATCTATCAGCGGAGGCTTTGTGTTACCATCGTTCGTTGCTTAATTCAAACACCAACTAAGTTCGTTGAAACGTGGATATTATAGATTAAGCATGAAAGGGAATTAATATCTATACTTACTTAGGCATGTTTCCCGGCAATCTCCGTCTTCCGGTGTTCCCAATAAGTGTTCCTACCCGATATAAGACCTATCGACAGTTAGTTCCGCCTGAAAGTGACCGCCACTCGAAAGATACCTGTAAATAAAATAAAATATTATATATATATACTGTATTTGTCCCAGCAGCATAAAATAGAAACACGCTAGAACAATACCCACAAACTTGTATACTTGTCACCACCCAAGTATACAAATTAAATCTAAACCAAAAGCAATCAAACTCAACAACAGCAAATACAATCTACAGCACATCCAAACAAATAAAGAAATATGACTTCTAGTACATAACAAAAGAAAATTGCAGACAAAGCATTGTACTTACTTTACAAGAGCATCTACATAGTTATATAGATTTTACAAACTTCTTCATTTATGTCCACATGTACACACATCAAAAAAGAAAAGGAAATACCCGACCAATTTCTTCTTCACTTTCTATACAAATAATATGTGTCTTTATAGTAGGTGTAAAGTTGTTGATACCAACAGTTACATGATTCTTGTAAAAATGTGAGAAAGGGGTTTGAATATTATTTTGAAGGGTTTTGTAGTTTTTATGAATACCAATACATCTCAACGGACTTTAGAAAAACTGTCAAGCCATTTTAAATTTAATGAAATGCTTAAGATAGCCCACAGGAAGAGATTTTTTAAACAATGGAATTCTAAATTTAGATTTTCCAGTTCACGAGTACATTGGTCAAGAAAAAACCTTCGGAAAATCTACAGCTATAAAAAGAGTGTGTTCTAATAATAAAGTTACAATGTTACAAGTTTCCTGTATTTGTCATTTTACAACACAGGGTTGCACATATAAAATTTAAAAAATCATGCAAACAGTAATTTCCATACAAATCCTTATATAATTATAAAGAGTTTGGTTCATAGTGGGAATGCTGGTAGTACTAAAGGAAATAGCCCAAAAAATTGAGCAAATATTACATCCACTATCAAACATATGATGTAGGTTATCTAGTGAGCTACTAAATGAGCAAAATTAATATAAACTAAATGATAAATGATGATTTGTTTTAATAATCCTGGATTTAAAGCTATATGAATTGGTTGTGCCCTAGGTCTATTCTAAGAAAAATGTATACTGGTGCTATCTGGTACTGCACTTCATAAGGAGCAGAGACGATTCATTGATAAACCAATGAAAAGGTGGCTGCAAATAGCAACAGATGACGTCGACGCCCACTCCGTGATTGGCGAAGGTGACGCGCGGGTTGTTGCAACGTCAAACATCGTCCCCCTGGTCGTGCCATGCGCACTGACGGTTGTTGTTGTTGAGCTGGTTGTTATGGCTGGACAAGGCCTCGGACTAAACTGAGAGTGGTCCCCCCCTCCCCGCACCACCCCGTCTCCGCTACGGGACACCCGCCACCCATGGAGGGCACCGACATGGACGTGGACCCGGAGCTCATGCAGAAGTTTAGCTGCATGGGAACCACGGACAAGGACGTCCTTATTTCTGAGTTTCAGAGGCTGCTGGGATTCCAGCTCAACCCGGCCGGCTGCGCCTTCTTCCTGGACATGACCAACTGGTGAGTTCGGGGATCCGAGGGGCCTGTTGTCGGACAGCAACATTATGCTAACCTATACTGTATAATTAGCTAGTTAGCATACGATAAACTGCTAAAAAATGGAGGCAGACACACACAGTTCTAAGTTAGCGTTGTTCAAACCCAAGGAGATAATTACACCATTCCTTCACGGGAAATGGCAGTTATAGTTAACGTAACTCCTGACGATCGTTGCGGGGGCAAGCGGAAGTGAAACGGTAAAGTTTAGCCCCAGCTGTGAGTTATAATAATATTAAATTACTTTTAAAAAGCAAAGAGCAAGCTGGCTAACTAGCTAGCAGGCTAATTTAAGCACAGGGAACTCTCGTGTAGATTATCTGCCATATTACATAAGAGTGTTCACAGCCAGTTACACCGAGCTGCTCCGGGAAGACACAACTCGCGTTAGTCTGATGACGTAACCAGTCGTGATCTATCGACGGTGGACAATAAGTAGCCTTTGATCAATTCATTTTAAGCTTTTAGTTAATCAATTGTTAGTGGCCGTGATCACATCATTATTTTAAAGGGAGGACCCAACCAGAAACACAATCTTGTTCAATTTTCATTTTGGAGTCTGGAATTCGTCACGGTATAAAAGGTGACATCATCACGTGACAGTTGCTGGGATTTGACCACCGAAACTAGTTCACTTGTAACATCACTGTGTAGTTTTATTTTAATCCAGAGTTTATAATTTCCCATGATTATTTTAGGATATCTTGTCCAACTTCAGTATAACCCTTTTTTGTACATGATCAGGATTTCCCCCAAGATATTTTAAGGTGATAAAAATAGCTCCATAACTAGCTCCTGATGCAGTTTGTCTCATAATGAGTTAGCAGATGACACAAAAGTCACTTTCATTAAAGGGTTTTCACCAATTCTACACATAAATATCTGTTTGATAGTCATAGCATGTACGGTTTAACCTGAGGGAACAGTTGTATTGTGTCTTCAGTGGCTCTGGAAGCGTTTTCTCAAGGCTGAGAATGCCAGGGATGTCATCAACTTGGATACTAGAATTGATATCAATACGTTTGCAAAGTGTGGGTGTGGAGCTTTACAGACATGGATGGCAAGAGGGTCTAGTGAAAGATGTTATTGAGTGGCATTATGATTCAGTGTCTTTGCATGACCCATACCGGGGATTAAACCGGTGTGTTTTACACGTATTCAGATATTTATTTAAACAGATATCTTCCTCTGCCTTTTGGCCTCATGTCAACACACAAACAGAGTTTTAGGTCACCAAAACGGATATTTCTGAAAATAATAAAATCTAAAAAAAAATCTGCACTGAAACAGAGGTGTCTCATGCGCCCAATGTTATTTGGTCCACCTCAGCTATTGCTTTACTATGGTTTACTATTTGTTGACAAAGGGAAATAAACCCTAACCCTACGCATGCTCACAACCATGTTCTCGGGTATTTGACGTATCGATGACGTAGCCTACTGGCCCGGTGAACGCTTGGAGTCGTTTTTACGCTCTAATGTGGACGGAGATATTTTTTTAAACAAGGGTCGTGTGGACAGAATTCTATTTTTAAACGTAGAGGAAAATATCTGTTTTAAAAAAACAAATCTGTATACAGACAGGGCCTAAACCAAAGTGCTTGTTGTAAACAGCGTTGGAATCCCCCTCCTCCTCCCAGGTCTTTCCGATGTTTGATTTGTCAAGTGTCCGACGATTCTTGTAACTTTCCAAACTGCCACCTGACAAGTATGCCCACTTTTCACGACATGTGGCCAGGTGTGCTGATGTGAGCATGTAATTACGGTTTTCACCTCTCTCAAGCTCTTGAAATGTCCACACAACTACACTTTTGTGTATTCTGTAAAGCAGAGTCTCTGCTTCATAAAAGTGTATTCAAAATGGCCATTCCCAGAGGCCTAGTTGAATATTTAAATGACTTGTTGTGTTCTACCAACAGTCCAAAGCCCAAAAATATTCTGTTTTGTATCATAGAAGTCCAAGAAAAAAATCGAATCATTAAATTTTAGAAACTGGATTCAGTAATGAATAAAAGTAAGCATATTTATTTAGAAAAGGACCTAAGCAATTAATCAGTTTTCTGTATGATTCCACAGATTAATTTTCTTTTTGGTTCAGCTTTAGTATGAAGCGCTTCACACACAAATGGAAGAAAATGGTTCAATGAAAGGGATGAGAGATGCTCTATTGACGTCTGAGCAGTTCCAGTACGTCTCTTGATGCACGGATTAAAAAGAGTCATGATAATTGTTAGGGAGTTACACAGTCTGTGAATCCTATTTTAGGAGTGATCCTCTTTTGTAATTGTCAGTATCAGATTGGTGGATTGTCACATTTGATGAAATAGTTTGTGAGGCAGGGATTAGAAAGACAAATATCTTTTATTATTGTGCATTGAGAAAAGTATTCTAAAACAGCACAACGTACACAAAAAACAAATATTTTTCTTGATTAATTAACTTACATTCTAACTGTCAGGGTCACATGTTTAATGTCCACTCCTGTTAACACCTTGCTCTTCCTTTTTGTGTTGGAACAGGAACCTGCAGGCTGCTATTGGTGCATATTATGACTTTGAAAGTCCCAACGTCAACACGCCTTCCATGTCCTTCGTTGAGGACGTGACGATTGGGGAAGGAGAGTCTGTTCCTCCAGATACACCGTTCACAAAGACCTGGAGAATACAGAACACAGGTGCAGAGCACGTCACCGCATTCACATGTGTAGCTTTCACAGTATGAGTAGCATTTCTGAATCTGCATGCAAGAAGACCAAATGTCATTTACCACGTCATGGTTTTGTCGTTGAGCTGTGTTTTGACTGCACTCCTCTTTGTGTACTGTAGGTGCAGAGTCGTGGCCACCCGGGGTTTGTCTCAAATACATTGGCGGGGATCAGTTTGGGCACGTAAACACAGTAATGGTGAAGTCACTAGACCCCCAGGAAATATCAGATGTGAGCGTGCAGATGCGAAGTCCCACAGCTCCAGGCATGTACCAGGGCCAGTGGAGGATGTGTACAGCCAGCGGATTATTCTACGGAGGTAGGAAATCACCAAAGATTTCTGTCTGATCAGGACATTTATTTGAGCTACCATGGAGCCCACACTGTCACTAACTACAACTCCATGAACTGCTATTATTGGGAAAGCAGAGAAGGCGAAGTCAGAGAGAAGTAGACCGAAGGGTCTCTAGACTACGCGTCTGAAGGATACGTCCAGAATGTTACATTGATTCAGCAGCGAGAACGGGTTAACAAGATAAAGCTAGAAACTAAAGGCTACAGATCACGACGTAGAAGTGAAACCACCACATCACCTGGTGGTCATGACAGAAAACAATTAAATAAAGCAACTTAAGATCTTTATTCACTGTTACATTCATTGAAAGGCAAAAGCAGCATGTGTATACATTCAGTAGCTCCTGAGCATCGAAGTGCTAACGTGCTCCGCTAATGTTAGCTCCACAGGCTAATGTTAGCTCCACAGGCTAATGTTAGCTCCACAGGTTAATGTTAGCTCCACAGGCTAATGTTAGCTCCACAGGTTTTTATGTAGAAACATAACGTTTTAGAAAAGTATATCCCCTTCCAACCTCTCCGGGTGACTAGTATCACTATTACACAACATTTAATCATGACCAGCTCCAAATCCACAATGCCAGCCTGATAATGAAGAACATATGGAACAATTGCATGAGAGTCTATGGAGCTGGCCGATGCCACGCAATGATTGGCCAGTCTGCTTTTTAGGGGAGGTACCTGGTGAAGCGTCAATTCACAATGATGCACTGCAATAAGCATTCTGTGTCTGCGAATGCTTCTTTTCTCCTCAGATGTGATCTGGGTGATTCTCAGCGTAGAGGTCGGCGGTCTCCTCGGCGTGACCCAGCAGCTGTCATCTTTCGAGACGGAATTCAACACCCAACCCCAACGCAACGTGCAGGGGGACTTCAACCCCTTCGCCTCGCCACAGAAGAACAAGCACGACGCCACCGACGACAGCTTCAGAGATCCTGGCGGAGCGTGGGAACGCACACAGGAGCCAATCCAGCAAGATCAAAATGGACTGTCTCATAATGCTGTAAATAGGGCGTCTAATGGTCTCCAAACCAATCTTTCCGTGGTGACTTATGGTCAGGTATGTATGCATCAAACTTAGGGTTTTGCACTTCACAAAACTGCCACTTTAAACCCGTAAGAACTCATTTCACTACATAGATGAGTTTAGCTCATTTAAGTCCCCTTTCGGATTTATTGTGAGGGTTCATCTGCAAAATACAGTTTCCATTAAGCCTGCAATATGACAGTGGGACTCTGGTGTGGTGTATATGAAGTGCTTCTGTAAGAGCGTGTATTGAGCATGAAGGAAAAGAGTCTTCCAGTTAGTGTTTGACAAACTGTACTTTGCCGTGGACCAAAGTGTTGGTCAGAGAACGGTCACATCTGTACCAGTTTTCATGGCAGCTTGGTCTGCTGCTGTTGAGATATCTCTGAGATATCAGGTTCTGGACAGTTGGGGTAGTATCAGTGTTTAGGTTGCAGTGATACAACATTGTTGTGTTCACACTGTTGAACAAACTGGTTTAACTGCAATAGTTTCACGGCTTGGTTAGTTATTGCTCAGCCATGCTAGAGACGTGGCTCTTGGTCCTTTGAACCAGAGTGAAATATCAGGACAGCTGTTTGATGGATTGCCATGACGCTTAGTACCTGACTTATCTCAATTTGTCTTACAACTCAGTTTTAGATCGTCAATATAGATCAATATATGGCATTTATATTGATATAGCCTTTCCTTTGGCTGCACACTCAGGCCACACTCAATTTTTGTTTTGCCCCGCTAGTGGTATTTTAGGTAGTTGTCAATTCCCCCAACCGATTTTACTGTGATTACTGTGATACCTAC